TATGTTTAAATTAACGTTATTTTTTTTGTATTAATATACGTAATATAGTTCTAAATAATAAATTTTATATACTAAACAAAACTTAATATTATTAAAACATTGAATAAAAATAACTTGAGTACTTCATTAAACAAAAACCAGAACACATAAAATTTGCAGATCAATTGAAGTAAACATTTTCATATATGTACAGTACCAGAGCTGCGTTTGATAGTAAACTCTATTAAAAGCTACCACTTCATATAATGGGTACATGAAATAGGTTTATAAATAGCATTTTGACAAAAGATAATAGACTTTAACGAGTTAATAATTGTTTTGATCGCATAATGAGCTAACGATTTTATAATTCAAATGTCAATATTTAGAAGGGGGTTGCCAGCATCATTTGACATTTTGTAGGATGATCGATTAGCCTCAAGAAGTGTGAAATGTCAGGAAAAGTGCTATTGAAAATCATTTAGACATTATGTCGTGCTCATTATCTAAGAGTGGCGCGAAGTTATTTGAGTTAAAGATGATAAAGAATTAATAAATAATCAGGATATTTTAATATTAATGTCTAATATTTAACAAATGGGTCGTATAAATAAAATAATAAGTTAACGGTGTTACTGTAGGATTAAATATTTGAAAAGCTTTGTAACCATAAATATATATCCTAATAAAGTGTGTGAATATATACATAATATTTATCCATTCTCATTAAGGAGTCAATTATCCAATTCCCACATAGCCTACATGTGATTTATTATCTTTCTTTCTTAAAATATTAGCCAATTGCGTTTGACCTGGATCAGAGGTACATAACATTATGTATGTATTAAAAGAAAATTTAATTTCACTGATTTATGCAGAATATGATTTGAACTATGCACTTGTTCAAATATTAGATGCTGTCTGTAAGAAGGAGTATAGTGCTGAAGGAAGTTTGCATCCACCGAGATAATGCCTTGTTAGATCTTCATCTTTATTGAAGCAAAGAGGGGGACCGCTTACTAGTAATGAAATTTATGAGGCAAATAATGTCTTTTGTATAAAGATCTCGTGAAACATCTACACAACTAATATATATAATAGGTTGACCCTGTATAATAACCATCCCTATGAGAAAATGTTAATATAATTAACAAATATGTATAATTTTAACTAAACTAATATAAAAAATAACGGAAGATTATTTTTCATTAAAATTATTTCAAACTCTCACATACTGCTGTAATTATTAAATAACTTTTACTTCCTCATGGTTTGTAATTTTCTTCTATATTTGTCTATCGATAAAAAAAGTAAGGAATTGACCATAGTCTATTCCAATTTAACCATAAATCAATCATTTATTATCTCAATTAAGTATTTATAACATCTATCTAGATTATATAGAGCAAATAAAATAAATAAAATAAATAAATGAATAATAAAGGTAATGGGCCTGCTGCACAATATGAATCTACTGACGAGTTGAGAAACTTTTCATTACGACGGATTGAAAGCGAAGCCGACTTCAAGTTTTCAAGGCAAGATAAAGCTAAAAAAAAAATCAATATAACTAAATTAAGGTATATAAGGTTATAAAATATTACAAGGAATAAGGTCAAATTGGTCACTAAACGTAACCTGAAAGTGCATAGGCACTGAACAAAAAAAAAGTGCATTAGGCCACTGAACAGTCTAAAATGATGCAATTTCACCTATAGCAGTTACTCAATTTAGCAGTTATCTGCTTACGTGGCAGTTTGAGTTGCGTTTAAATAAATTTTAATTAATTTTAATAATGTTTATAATAATTTTTTATTAAAAAAATTAAAAAATAAAAAGACTTATTTATTTTTATTTAATTTTTCCAATTTATTTTATAAATTTAAATTATTAAATTAATATTATTAAAAATTATTTAAAAATTATTAAAATGCCAACTAAGCTGCCACGTAAGCAGGTAACCTGCTAAAATTGATGGTAACTTGCTATCCGGTAAAATTGCATACGTTTGGAGAGTTCAGTGGCCTAATTGCACATTTTTTGAGTGTTTAATGGCCTAATTGCACTTTTTTTCGTTCAGTGGCCTAATTGCATTTTCAGGTTACGTTCAGTGGCCAATTTGAACCTTATTCCAATATACAAATATACAACATCACTTCTATTTGTATAATTATTGTTAGGAACATATGTCTCGGATAATGAATATGGGACTTAGGGTGTGTTTGGAAACCTGGAAAATGAGTTTTGGAAATCATTTTCCAAGTTTCCATTGTTTGGATGTGCCTAGAAAATCAAGTTAACGGAAATCATTTCCGTTGACTTTGGAAAATAGGTTTGATTTGGAGGAAAATGACTTCCCTTTTTTTTGGGGGGAAGTCATTTTCCAACTTTTACACCAACATCACACCACCACCAACATCATCAACACCATACCACCACCACCTCACTACCACCACCACCACTGCCACCACCACCACCACCATACCACTGCCACCACACCACCACCATCACACCACCATCAATACCACCGTCGCCGCCGCCACCATCACAACCATCACACCACCACTACTACCACCACCGCCGTCGCCGCCACCACCACCATACCATCGCAACCATCGTCACCGCCACCACCACCACCATACCACCGCCGCCGCCACCACCACCATACCACTGCAACCGCCGCCGCCACCACCACCATACCACTGCAACCACCGCCACCACCACCACTACACCACCACCACCGCCGCCGCCACCACCACAACCATACCACCGCAACTACCGTTGCCGCCACCACCACCACCACACCATCACCACCACCACTGTCATACCACCCCCAGTTATTATTATTATTGTTATTATTATTATTATTATTATTATTATTATTATTATTATTATTATTATTATTATTATTATTATTATTATTATATAACAAATAACACCACTACCACCACCATAATATTTTTGATATATTATTAGTTATTTTTTGTAATTATATTTAAAATTATTATATATTATTATACATGTTATAATATTCTAAATAAAATAATTAAAATGTTTAATTATACAATTCTACTCATTTTCCAGAAAATGAACCAAACACACAAAAACAGTTTTCCAGAATGCAACCAAACATTAGAAAGGAAAATGTTTTCCGGCAAATGACTCATTTTCCAGAAGTCATTTTCCTGCTTTCCAAACGGACCCTTAATAAAAATAAGGAGTTACTTGACCACAATCTTCAGGTGTGTAAAACAAGGTATCACAAGTTTTTTATTCATTTACTAAGCAATAAGGTTGATCAAATCAGAACTTATGAAGTACAAGAGATGTCAAATTTCTCAGATTGCTTTTTGATAAATTTACCAAAGGAATAAGGGTCAAATATGCCACTCAACTACACACCAAACTGTAATTAGACCATAAACTAAAAAAAAATGCAATTAGACCATCAAACTAAAAAAATACAATTGGATCCCTGAACAACACAAACTCATGCAATTTGACCCAAAATGACTTGTTTACCTGAACATATGCTGACATGTCGGCTACCAAATTTAAAAATACAATTAGGTCCCTTCATCGTCTCCGATGTTTTTTTTTTAACATTTATTTTAATTAAAATTATTTTTAGATTTGGTGACCTCACACTGAGGTTCAGATTTAAGACCTCTCATTTAAGGGGCCACAACTACATCGTTCGACTACCAGGCCTATTTGATTCTTATTCCTATACTAAAGGAGTAACATGATATTTTTAATTTGTTAAAATTCTCTCATAAACTCTACAGTTGTTTTAATTTGTTAGTAATCTTCCAATTCCAAAATTTAAAATTTACCAGAATGATTAATCAACATTCTTGTTCAATAGATAATAAATTTTCAAATATAAAATAATAGATATTTTCAACTCAACAACACCAAAATATTATTTATACTTTTGGTAAATATGTTTATACTAATACATTCAAATATTTACTATATACATATCTAACAATTATTGCTTTGTTTGAAAAAAACAATTGTTGCTTTTTTTTTGTGTGTGTGTGTGTACAATTATTGCTTATTTAAAATTAAAAAATGTCATAATATTTTAAAATTAAACATTGTGGAAATTCACGTACACATAATATTTCTAATGATGTATTGATTAGATGGGTTCATTATTGATTAGTCTTGGTTAGGGTGACATTTTTACGACTTAGTTATCCATTACCATAAAAAAGTGAGTTTCTATGTTGTTAATCAAAAGCTAGTGAAGACATGCCCAAGCACGACATTCAACATCAAACTCTTCATTAAATTGTTAAATACGTTGAAAAGAGTTTTGAGAAAAAAAACTGGTAATAATGGAAGAAATCTAACAATTCTAAGTGATAATAATTTAGTTTTTAGCCTAAAATTTCAAGGAGTTATTCTATTTTTGGTTCTAAATTTAGATGTGATAGTTTATTTTTAATTTTTTTTAATCAAAATATCCATATTTAGTTATAATATTATTGTGACATGATCATTTTTTTTTCTCCAGTCAGCAAAATCGTTAAAATGTGGTTAAATACAAATGCATTTGATTATTTTCATACAAAGTGAGTTAACCCTGTTATATTTTTATGTTTATTTTTTTCAAAAAATCTGTAATTAAAAACCAAAATGTCATTATATTTAACTGCGTTAAAATTGTTTTGTTGATAGAAGATTAAAATTGGCCATGTCACAATAATACTAGAACCAAATGTGGGCAAATTATGCTGTGGATCTGTATGCACCATGCATGGTGCATACAGATCCACACGACGTCGTTTTAGCCTAATGACGCGGGGTTTTATAAAAAAAAAAAAAAATTCCGTTAACGGCGTTTACTTCCAAATTCCTTTTGAGTTTGTTTCCAAGTTTCAAACTCGATCGTTGGCAGTTGTTCGCTGTGGTATTGGCATTCGATATCACCGGAATCGCGATCGCAATCTCAATCGCATTCGCAAATCGCAATCGCAAATCGAAATCGGGAATTACAAAGTGATTGATAGATGGAGGATGGAACAGAGCAGACGAATTCCGCAGTTGATGATTGGCATTCGATTCAAGGTGATCTTGTTATTGTTTTTGCAATCGTTCCTTTTGGTTTTTTGTATGATTATGTGATTAGCAGTGATGTTTGTGTCTAGAATCTGCAAATAGTTGTGCAAAATCACGTAAGTAATTTCCATAATTGTGTAACAACAATTTCAGAATTTGAAAACAATAATTCCATAATTTTATAACTATATTTCCAGAATTGCATGTCTATATATTCAGAATTAGGGGTACTCTGTTTTGGCAGTTTGTTGCGACTGTGTATCCAGAATTGTATAACTATATTTCCATAATCATATAACTATATATACAGAATCTGTAGACACTCTGTTTTTTCTGTTTGATGAACTGTTTGAATTAATGTTCACCATGTCTATATAATGTAGTTAGTGAAGGCATTGTGGATGGTTCAGTGAGTTCAGATCAAGTAGATGTAGATGTTGATGGATCTTCATCAATTCCAGGTTTATTCATAGTGGTTTACCTTTTAATTAGCAAATTATGGTTAGGAATTATGTGTTAATGGAAATGGTTATTATTGTGTTATATTTGCAGTTGATCAAGATTTGGTTGGTTTGGTAGTAAGTAATGCTGATGAGGCTTTTGAGGTGTATAACAGTTATGCATATAGACTTGGTTTTAGTGTGAGGAAGGGTCATCAACGATACAAGGGATCTTCGAACACAATTCAAATGAAGAAATTTTGTTGTTCTAAGGCTGGTTACAAGGCTAACAGTGGGGTTAAGGCTTATTCCAAAATTGACACAAGGACAGGGTGTGGAGCGTTTGTTCAATTTGACGTGGGTGATGATGGGTTGTGGACAGTTACGAAACACGAGAAAGTGCACAATCACGAGTTATGTGTGTTCAACAAGAGTCATCTACTTCGTTCACATAGGAGTGTCGGAGATAATCAGCTCTTATATTTACAAGGTTTGAAGGACAGTGGTGTTGCATTGGCAGATGGTATTAGGTTCCTAAAACACCAATCGGGGGGGTCCCCTTTAGTTGGTTTCACCAGTAGAGATGCTTATAATTCAATGGCTGCGGATACTGTCAAGCGATTGGATGGAACGGATTCTAACTCTTTAATTGAAATTTTTAGGAGGAGGCAGTCTACCGAGACTGATTTTTTCTTTGATTTTGAACTTGACTTGGATGCAAGGTTGTGCATTTTTTTTTGGAGGGATGGTCAAATGAGACGAGATTACGAGGTGTTTGGGGACTTGTTAGTGCATGATACGACATATCGCACAAACAAATACGATATGATTTGTGCCCCTTTCGTAGGGATGAATCACCATTGCATGAATGTAATGTTTGGATGCGGGTTTTTGATGAACGAGAGGATAGAATCGTTTGTGTGGTTGTTTAAAGTGTTTTCAAGATCAATGGGTGGCAAGTCTCCACAGACTATTATGACAGATCAATGTGCAGCTATGGCTGCTGCTATATCTAAAGTGTTTCCAACATCACGTCATCGTCTTTGCATATGGCATATCGGTGAGAATTCAAAGAAGCATATCAAGACGTTAAGGAGCAATAAGGATTTCTTGGATATGTTTAACTACGTGTTGAAATACACAGAGACCGAAGCTGAATTTCAATTCTATTGGACAAGGTATGTTAGTAATTAATCGTTTTTATTGCATTACGTTTGTAATTATGGATGTATAGTGCATCAATTATGGATATATAGTATTTCGATTATGGATATATAGCAGTGGTGGTGTCTGGAAATGTAGTATATGGATTATGGATATATAGTATTCCGATTATGGATATATAGTATACCGATTATGGATATATAGCAGTTGAACTTACTGGTGGTGTCTAGAAATGTAGTAGTATGGATTATGGATATATAGTCTATCAATTATGGACATATAGTATTCCAATTATGTATATAGAGCAATAGAAATTCTGAGTATGTGTTAGATGTGGTGATGCTGCTTGTTAATATTCTGCTTCATAATCATTTGGGATTTTGTCTTACCATTTTCAGGTTGGTGACTGACTATAAATGTCACAAGAATACTTGGTTAGAAAAGCTATATGACTGTAGGGAGAAGTGGTGTCCAGCATTTAACAAGGACTATTTTTCTGGGGGCATTCTATCATCACAAAGGAGTGAAACTACAAATCATTCGATTTCTAGAAGGTTGTCCAAGACAGCGGGTCTTTGTGATTTCTATTCATCGTTTGTAAGCGTAATTTCTGAATGGAGAAGTAAAGAGAACGGTGAAGACTTTCGGTGTGCTCAAGGGGTACCCGCTATGATGATGGAGCATGTGAAACTTCTTTCACATGCTAGAGAGGTATACACGATTGAGATATATTTTCTGTTTGAGGAACAATTCATGAAAGGCAGTGCGTGTCATCAAGAGATGGTGTTGAATGATGGCCGTCAACAGAAGTATCACGTGTGGCGGCCAGATATAGATATTATAAGGCATGAGGTTAGTTTTAACGCAGCTAACTTGGACATTTCTTGTAGTTGCAAGTTGATGTCTGAGTTGGGAATTCTATGTTGTCATTGTATACGCATTCTTCACGTACATTGTGTTTCTAGTATTCCCGACAAATATATACTTAAAAGATGGACTAAAAAGGTTATTGATGGTAGGAATGTCAACATTGATTCTATGGTTTATAATGTTGGTGTTCCTCCATCAATTTGAGTGTTCGATATTAGTAGAAAATTTCAAAGATTAGTTGTGTCTAGTCAAGATAGCAGCGTAGCGAGGAAACTGTGTGACGAGGCTGTTGATGATGTAAAGAAAAAGGTTGAAGCCGAGGTTGGGCATGTGCATATTGAAGAGTGTGGTGTTTCATCTTCAAGTGGTGGTGTTCAAAATCCTTCAAGTCGGAGATTGAAAGGTGAGCGTAACAAAAGGAGGAGTGGTGTTATTGAAAAGAAGTACAGTCTTGCAAGGGGGAGAAGGAGTGCTGCAAATAAAGCTGCATTGAGTACAAAGGGTGCTGTTCAGTCTTTGGTGTTGGAAAACATATCCAAGCTTGCTGGGGATGGATACCTTGTACATCCAAGTTCTTCAAGTTCAGATTTTGTTCAGTTTAGTAAGGGTTTAGATGACAATGTAGGTGTAGATTGAGAAATACAAGTTGTTATCATTGATTTTATGCAATTATACAGTTTTAGTTTTGTAATTCTGGATATGTAGTTTTGCAATTTTGGAACTGTAGTTATGAAATTATGGAATTATAGTTATACAATTATGGAATTGTAGTCATGCAATTATGAAAGGTATGCAATTATGAAATTATAGTCATTCAATTATGAAAATATAGTTATGCATTTATGCATGTGTAGTCCCCATTGTGATGGAATTTGTAGTTATGAAATTGTGGTGTATAGTTATGCAAGTATGGATGTATAGTTTTGCAATTATGGTATTATTGTTACGCAATTATGGAACTATAGTTATGCAATTGTGGAATTGTTTATATACAATTATGGAATTATAATTATGAAATTATGGAATTATAGTTATGCAATTATGGAACTATAGTTTTGCAATTCTGGATTTATAGTAGTCATGCAATTATAGATTTGATACATGAAAACAAAAACAAAAAAAAAAAAAAAGTAAAGAAAAGAAAAGAAGAGAAAAGAGAAAGAGGTGCATAGATCAGATGTAAATTGTTATTTAGCTATTAACATCATGCATCTACATTCACAAAATACAAGTCACATTGTCAATGTAGTTCACAAAAACTTTCTAATTGTTTAGAATTCAGTCAACATGTTGAAGAATATTCATTCAATTCTTCTTCGAAACTCTTTTGGCCGCTTGCAGAACCTCCCCCCTGACTTCATTCATTCTCCACTTTATGAGGTTCGCAGCATATTTCGCTCGCAATTCACACATGAAGCTTGCCTATAAACAAAGAACATTAAGTAATTAGTCATTCGCAGTTTTATTTATTTTTTAATGTATTTTGAAACTATAATATGTATGGTAGTCTTACATTCAAGCGCATATTTTTCTTGAATCCTGGCTGCCAGTCTTGTAGAGTCCCTCGGAATGTCTCCATATGACGGAGTACATAGATCCCGCAATCAGTGACGTTTTCAGTGTTTGCCCAGTCCAACTTAAGGTACTTTATATCAACTTTTTGCAATTTCACATACAAGGAGTGGCACTCGGCCTTAAGGTAACCACTGAATGCTTCAATCTGGTCAGAAAAGTTAGTTTAGTGTTGATAATGCTTTTATGTCAATAGATAGGTAATGGTAAGAATGTCAAGTTTTTTTTTATCAAAATTACCAATAAGTGTGGGCAGTTGCCATATTTGTCCTTCTCCGAAACACCAGCTGGTAACTCCTTGTTGTCAATGACCTGTACTTTATGTTCTTTCACATTGAAGCAGACCAAGAAGTAGTGACCATGGCGATGAACTGCGAAAAATATCTAATTCCAATTCAAAGTTAAAGCAATGTTAGTATTTTTTTGGACATGATAAAGTCAAATTGGACATGGGTAATAGAACTTACCAGATCTGCATCACTGATGTCTAGGTTCACGAAGCTGGTTATTTCATAGCTCAATCTCTCATTGAAATTCTTCATTTTTATGTGAGTTGGGAGATCCTTCATCCACTGATCATTGGGATCAATTTGAAGCTGCACATACAAATGCAGGAATGAGTAGTCATAATCCAAATAATATTTGTTGAAAATGTTAAAGTTATACATACAGAGTTATATATATATACATTTCCAGAATTGTACAACTATAGTTCCATAATTGGATAACTATAATTCCATAATTTCATATCAATAATTCCATAATTGCATATAACCAATTCCATAATTGCATAAGTATAGTTCTATAATTGCATAACTATAATTCCAAATTACAAAATTATAAAACCAGGGGTTCACAGGTACACATCCAGAACTGAATAACTACATATCCATAATCTAAAAACTATATATTCATAATTTGTGAACACTTACATGTACTAGGGTGGAGAAGTAGACCCGCTTTGTCTCCCCAACCGCACGGGGCATGTTCAGCAATGTAAAACGTAGGGACCAGACATCTAGGAAGCTGCTCAGTAGCTCACCGTTGCACATAGTTGCAAAATCATCCCTTGTGAAGTAGTAATCACCATATTTGAACAATGTCTCTCTACAATACAGTAAATAAATAAATATAAGAACATAAATTAATGAATAAAATTTAAGTAAAATTGGTGGATGGAAACATACCCTCCCGGGTGCTCACTTGAGGCTTCCAAAAATGCGTAGTTTGAAAAAACCTTTTCTTTGGGAGTTGCATTATTGATGGAGCCTTTGTTCTTATTCCAATATGGTGACCTCAAATGAAGCGGGATGTTCCTGAATTTGCGCACAGGTCTCTTTCTCACAGTAACATCCTCAACATCATATTCACTTTCATCCATAGCCCTGTTGTCCAGAAAAAAACAGAGGCAGTTCATAACCCCACAAGTATAATTCCAGAATTGTATAACTACATTTCTATAATCTATAAACTATATGTCCATAATTTGAGAAATACATATCCATAATTGTAAAGAAATCAACGTCACTAGTTGAATAAGAATATATTCATATTAATCAAACTTAATATTCATAATTATTGATGAATTGAAAACCATATTTATAGTCTAAATCTGCATAAGAAAGCAGTAACCTACTTATCAAATTCATCAATCTCAGCAGCAGTTTGGGCAGCAGGGGTAGTAGGAGTGGTGGACTTTTCGAATGGCACTCTGATTAGTAATGGAGTTGCTTCCTTCTCTGTTGAGGTTGATACTCCTGCACTCCTCACAATGTTATCCACCAAGGTGTCCAAAGGCTGCTGTTGAGATGGTGGTGGGGTTGGTGTAGAGCGTCCAAGTAGCTCAAATGATGGGACTTCTATTTCCATTTCCTTTCTTGTTTTTTTCAAAAGCTGCTACCAGAGAATCAACTGCTGATGTGAAGCTCTCACTTCCGAAGAAGATGTCATCCAATTGCGAGGCAGTTGGGCTAGGAGTCGGTTGAATTGTGCTTGCAGCACTCAGCATTGTTGATATTCCTGAAAAAGCCCTCTTCATGATTTCAACCGGGGCCCCTTGCTTGCCAATGTCAGACATGACCTGACCGAACTCAAGGACATCTGCTGTAAGCCGTTGAAGCACATTTGTTACTCGGTCAACATTTGTCAGAGGCACAGATGGAGCTGGAATAGTTGGTGTAGCAGCAGGGCTGGACACTGGTCTTGGTATTGCAGCAGGAGGAGGTGCAGGTCGGGGTGATGATGTAGATGCAATGGCAGTAGGTTTCTGAAATCGAGGGATAACTTTGCCCTTACCAAAACCCCCTGATTTTATCTCAGCCGATACTCGCTTGCGTACAAGGCTTTTTGTCCAAGCTTTTATTGCTGGGAATGTGCGGTTGACGGTCATGCCTCTGAACTGTACTCGGTCAAAGTAGAAGAGCTTCAAGAAGTACAGAAGAGTATGTTATGGAATTGAATAACTACATATTCAGAATTGCATATCTATAATTCCATAATTGCATAACTATAATTCCATAATTATAAAACTAGATATCCAGAATTGCATATCTATAATTCCATAATTGCATAACTATAATTCCATAATTGGATTACTATAATTCCATAATCCATAAACTACACATCTATAATTGATTAACTATAATTCCATAATTGTAAAACTATTATTCCATAATTGGAAAACCACAATTCCACAATTACAAAACTACACATCCATAAGGGCATAACCACACATACAGAATTGCATATCTATGATTCCATAATTACATGAATATAATTACATAATTAGAACATTTTATGTATAATGGGATATTACCAGGATGAATACCATTGGACCTCCAAAGGATCTGGTAGGAGAGTCTTTGTAAATGTCATACGAATCAATTAAAGAATTGTACGTGTACTTGCACCAATTAAGTCTTGAGATTGACCGGATGTTGAGCAATGACTTGATAACTCGATAGTTGGCATATCTTCCAGTATTTCCCCGGAGCAGAGATGAGACAACAAACACCACAAAGTCTCTCTTGAAGGCATCTCCATGGTCACCTCTCCTGATTATTTCATCAGGCATCTTTGTTGTTATGGGTGACCCTGACCTGACATTCCATCTTTTCCTCCACTCAGTCAGGACCTTATTATATGCAGCTGTAGAATTTTCCTCACTCTTTGTACCTTCCTCAACATCTCTCTTCCCCCGGGGGAGTCCCAAGATGTATTCAACATCCTCTTCACCGACATGTAGATGGTCACCATCCAATATGAAGTCTGATTTGAAAACATCAAACCTTTGCAGGAGATACTCAACAAGTTGTGAGTAATTGCTTGAAAATTGTAGGTGCAGCAGCCCTCCAAAACCCATATCAATCACAGCATCCTTTTGGTCATGTGTTAGACGCTGGACAAGGTCATACATTTGCTTGGGACCCATTCGTGTACTGAAGTAGTTCACATCAGGGTCCCGTACTCTCTCTCGCTTTTGTGGTGGTGCCCTCTTTCTTTTTACAGCTGCTGGTTGTTGCCTTGTCGAAGGCTCTGCTTGATCTTCCTGGGCAGGGGTGAGTTCAGCAGCTTGTGAGCTCAATACTGCTCTGGTTGTTCTCTTTTTTACAGACTTCACAAATTGACCAAGTGTAGAATCATCTGCCACACCTGACTGATCCATTTCTGCAAATAAAAAACATCAAGTGAGGTTAACAGAGTACTATATCCAAAACTTCATAACTACAATTCCATAAACACACAACTATACTTCCAGAATTGTAAAACTACAATTCCATAATCTCATAAGTATACCACAAGGCAAGTTATGCTAAAAAGGATTTGAATGCAATTTGGTGCACAGAGTAAGGTTCACAGAGTAATACATCCAAAACTGTATAACTATAATTCCATAAACGCACAATTATACTTCCAAAATTGTACAATTACAATTCCATAAGCATACCTACAAGGCAAATTATGCTAAAAAGGCATTGATGCAGTTTGGTGCACAGAGTAAGGTTCACAGAGTACTACATCCAAAACTCTATAACTACAATTCCATAAACGCACAACTATATTTC